ATTATCTTTTCCGTTAGTTTCTGTTAGTTCACCGTTAACTAACTCATTGATTTTAATAAGAAAGGTCTCAGGTTCGAACCCCATCCCAATCAAATTAAAGTTGACATAATTAGTACTCTATTTTACTCTTATTAAATTAAAATTAATAATTTAGTAGCTATAACAAAAAATAATACATATGCATTTCTTTAATTTAGAATTATGTGTGTACTATGTCTTTATTCAAAAAAATAATTATTCATTATCAATAAATTAAATAAGAGAAATAATTTCATTAGTTATATTGTCTTTATTTTTTTTCAATGTAAAAATTCTTTACATTCAAATTAATCAATTAATTATATTCACTACATTGTCTATTATCTTTTTTTGTGCACTATTTTTTTTTAATTAAATATCAAAGTTATAATACCAAATAATGCTATATATTTATTTACCAAGTATTTTATTAATACCATGAAAAAATTAAAAATTTAAAAAAACATAATTAATAAAGCCAGTCATATTAACTACTTGAGGAATTTGTTGACAAAGAGAGTATTCAAATCACACAACAAATTGAAGTGAGAACTACATCGCAATGTCCTTGTTTGATAATCAGCAGTTAACGGTTAACGTTAGCGGATTTGACCAGCGAATTATATTAACGGTTGGTAAAAAGATATTTGAAAAAATTAGTCGTTTAGATTAACATGTAAAATGACCTAAGGATATACATATAGTAATAATAATAATAATAATAATAATAATAATAATAATAATAATAATAATAATAATAATAATAATAATAATAATAATAATAATAATAATAATAATAATTGTTATAACAAAATTAAAAAAAAAAAGTATAATTAAGCCAATCATATTAACTATTTGGGGATTTATTAACAAAAAGAGTATTCAAATCACACAACAAATTGATGTGGGAAACTATCTCGCAATGTCCTTGTTTAGCAATCAGCAGTTAGCCCTTCAATATTAGTATATATTTAATATTTTATGCCCTAATTTTTATTTGCTCTCCCTTATTTCCCGTATTTGGTTTCAACCATACGCATACAACTATTTTATTGACAATTATAATTAATCTTCTCCCAATTATAATTAATGTTGACTATATTATCTTGCATTTGTAAACTTAGAATTACCTATTTAAATACGCAAATTCAACATTTTATTATCTATGCATGAACAATTCTAATATAATCTTGCATTGATATATTTTATAGTACTTAAATATATATAATTAATAAAGCCAATCATATTAACTACTTGAGGGATTTGTTTACAAAGAGAGTATTAAAATCACACAACAAATTGAAGTGAGAACTACCTCGCAATGTCCTTGTTTGATAATTAGTAGTTAGCGGTTAGCGTTAACGGATTATATCAGCGGATTTGACCAGCGAATTATATCAACGGTTGGTAAAAAGATATTTCAAAAAATTAACTGTTTAGATTAACATGTAAAATGACCTAAAGTAGTTACCTTGATATACTTTATAGTACTTATTTTAAAAAAAAAAATATTGGGCATTATCTCAATCGCGCAATGCGCGTAAATGCATATGTAATTTTTTTTTTGTAGCTACCAATTTATTTAATTTAATAAGAGTAATAAAGTGGCGTACATACTTTAATCAACAACATTAAAGTCATTGTTTTTTTTTTTTTTTAATTTACATTCGTTGTTGAGACAAATTGTTTTGGGATTTGTCAATGAAAATTGCTACAATTGCTGACAATAGATGAAATAATAAATAATTAAAAATATATTGTTACAATAGATACACTACAACAAATTAGTTTTTTAGCGACACATATGTAGTGGCGGTTATATACAACCGTCGCTAAATGAGTATTTTGTGACGGTTATAAAAATCGCCACTAATTTTGTATTAAACTTAGGAAATATTAATTTCTTTTCAATTTAATGTGTATTTTAGCGGTAAACTTAACTAAATAAATGTGTATTTTAGCGGCGTTTGTGATATCCGTCGCTAAAAATCAACAAAATTATTTATTTATATTAGAGTTAATTCCAGCAATGGTCCTCCGACTATTGTGATTTTCCAAATTTAGTCCTCGTCTTTTAATTTGGACGAAATAAGCCCTTGACTTTCAGATTTGTTCCACCATTGGTCCTTCCGTGAAATTGGCTTTAAACCGACGTTAAGTTAAAGGGTAAAATGGTAGTTTCCATAGCTAATATCTTCTTCCCTTCGACAGGTTCAGATTATGAGCAGAAATAACAGTAAACCAAAGGAGAATAACCAGTATTGGGGAATGTACAATCAGAGCAGCAATGACTAATATGCAGGAGGCAAATCATAATTATAATCACTACTATTATAATGATGAAGCTCCGGATCGACCGTTTGAACACAGTTGTTTCCGATTTCAAAATACCCCGAAAATCAATTTTTCATTCATGTGGGGGATTGTTGGAAAAATAGCATTAAAATGGCATTTAAGTGATTATTTTGTGGTACAATTATCAGTGGGGTCCACTTCCGATTTGGGTCGGGTCAAAGTGGATTCGGGTTCTTCGTAGTGAGACGAAGAGATTGATATATTGTACGCTCAAAACGGATAATGGGTGAATAAGATATTGATTCTTAAAGTAGACCCATTGAGTTGGAAAAATGAAGGGAAAAAGTGAGCTTTTGTCCCACATTGGTTTGGAAAGAGGATTTCACCCCCCTTTTATACAAGAGCTTTTTTAGAGCTTGTAGAATTGTATAGCATAGAGGCTCTCTCGCACGGGGGGTGGGGGATGCAAATCAAATTCCAACTAGACGAGATTGAAAAAGGCTTGATTCAAGCCCGAGCTCGTATGTGCCGGCACCTGCGGGCACGAATGTCGTCCGGAAATTGGCTAGCATTGCGGGCTAAGTTATGCCAACTTTCGGTATCAAGACCGAGACGAGCTCGGTCCAGGCCGAATTGGACTGTAGTTACCAAGTTTCGGCCAGAGAGGCCGAGACTTGGCTTGTAGTTTCGGCCTCGGCCAGGCCGAAACTGAAGCAGTATGGTTTCGGCCAGAGAGGCCGAGACTTGGCTTGTAGTTTCGGCCTCGGCCAGGCCAAAACTGAGACGAGCTCGATCCAGGCCGAACTGGACTGACGAGCTATGGTTTCGGCCAGAGAGGCCGAGACTTGGCTTGTAGTTTCGGCCTCGGCCAGGCCAAAACTGAGACGAGCTCGATCCAGGCCGAACTGGACTGACGAGCTCGATCCAGGCCGAACTGGACTGTAGTTACCAAGTTTCGGCCAGAGAGGCCTAGACTTGGCTTGTAGTTTCGGCCTCGGCCAGGCCGAAACTGAAGCAGTATGGTCTTGGCTTGTAGTTTCGGCCTAAACTGAAGCAGTATGGTCTTGGCTTGTAGTTTCGGCCTCGGCCAGGCCAAAACTGAAGCAGTATGGTTTCGGCCAGAGAGGCCGAGACTTGGCTTGTAGTTTCGGCCTCGGCCAGGCCAAAACTGAAGCAGTATGGTCTTGGCTTGTAGTTTCGGCCTAAACTGAAGCAGTATGGTCTTGGCTTGTAGTTTCGGCCTCGGCCAGGCCAAAACTGAAGCAGTATGGTTTTGGCCTCAGGCCGAAACCTAGCCAGTCTGGGGTGGCTGAATACCAACAGACAAATGTGGGTTTAAATTCTTCAGTTACAGATTTAATTTTTTCAATTAACTCCAATTTCAATTCTGAATTTAAATCCTTGGTAATGGCATGCTGTTTCAGATGTTACAAAGCCAAGTTTAAATGGCCTTGTTTAATGCTATTAAGGACCTACATCCCTATATAAGAAGGGGTAGAGTGCAGCAGATTTTCTAAGCACATAGTGACAAGAACACACAACACAAGAATTGTTTTCCCTCCTCAAAAACTCTGCTTCTACTCATTTCTTAAGCCTAACTGTGTTCAAGGCTTTGCTCCGTTCGCCGGGTTCGTTCGTTTGGGTGCTCAAACGTCGAACCATAGCGTGTTTTATCCTGGGAAACCTAGGTCACGACGCTCCTAGCACTTTTGAGAGGTGGCAAATAAGGTTTTAAGGAAAGAGTGGTCTCTTGACTCACGCTAAAAACCCTATACCCATACACGAGCCATCTTTCCTTCTTTCGATTTTTGATTATGCTTCTAAGCAAAAATCCTCCTCTTCTGATTTAGTTTGGTTGGAATTATAATCTGTGGATTATAAATTCCATTTGGTTGATATGTATATATCTTTTCTGTAGATATTCATGCATATAACCAAGGTGGTCTGATTTATATATATATATATATATATATATATATATATATATATATATATATATATATATATATATATATTTCAGATATATATATCGAATAATATTTTATATACTTCGTGTGTGTATATATAAATATTATTTTACGATATTAAATCGATTATTGGTTCATTGTCACCAACAATAATGTATTGTATTGTGTTCATAATTTAGTTGTTTTAAGTATTGTGAATGAGGAGATTGAGACTAAATTATTCTATATTGAATTGCAGTTGTTATGAAAGAAGATGAAAAAGTTTGCTCTCCATTTGTTAGTTTTATCGCATTCCTACTCAGTACCTTCACTTAAAAGAGTGTGTGAATACATTATAGCTAAGAGATGGGCGCCTTAAATTCAATTACCCTGTGTTTTAGAAGAAACAAGAGCAGCAAAGTAAAATTGAAGAGAAAAAGGTTTATTTTCTCTGGATGTAGAACCAGAGTTCTTGAACTTCATTCCCGGATGTGCCATAATCCGATGTTTGCAGCGTTGGATCCAATGTTTGTAGAGGAAATGACCCTTTTAGCTTTCCACTAACGATTTATCTAACTGTTGGTTAATGGAAGGACCAATGGTGGAACAAATCTGATAGTAAGGGTTTATTTCGTCCAATTAAAAGACGAGGACTAAATTTGAAAAATCGGAGGACCATTGCTAGAATTAACTCTTTATATTAATTAGAAGTGTTTAAAGCAAAAATGACAGGCAAAGAATCAATTCCTCAAAACAATGGCGGAAAAAACCCCAAGCATAGAAGCAATCGACGAGCAAGGAGTTTCAAAAGCTTTCAGCACGGATATGCCTTACCTAGAATTAGATCGGTGACCGGCGATACGGGAGCCGCCGAGAGGAAGATAGTGACGGCGGCGCCATCACCGTCGGTGACACCACTCGCGACAATTCGCAGAAGCTATCCATCTCCACGATCGCTTGCTCCGTAGTGCTGGTGGTGGTTGTGTGCTCCATCTGTCCGGTCCGCTGTAGCCTGAGAAAAACCGTCTTCGCCTCCGTAATTTTTCTCCTAATTGCTTCCACAACTGCTCTCGTCATTTTTCATTGGCCATTTGTCACTGACTCGCCAAATCTAGTAAGGTATTAGTTTTTGATTTTGCTTGTATTATTCTAACTTTTGTGAATTTTATATGAGTTTGATTGATTCTTTCTATTGGAACCTGAATTCTTCGGCTAGTTTTCAGGATTGTTCATAATATATATACAAATTGATGATCACTTTACATTAGCCTGAAACAGAATCATCAAGGTGCCCTTTATGTGTCTGCTTATAATATCTTTCGGGTTATTCTAGAATTATGCTACTACATGAATTTGTTTATTTAATTTGGTAGTCTATTGTAGCAATTGCATTCAAGGTGTTTGTCATATTGTTTTTGAGCTGAAGTTTGATTGTGTTTTGAATAGCGTGTGTTTGCTATCACTGGTGAGTTGTACTAGCATTTCTAGAGGCTGAAATTGCTAAAATGGGGGTTTTTTATAGCTAAAAGTGTTTTTTTTTTTTTTTTTTTTTTTTTTTTTTTAAAAAAAAAAACTCTTTATATAAAAAGTATTTAGTTCAGAGAGTGAAAAGGCGTGGGGGTTAATCATACACTGATTGCCAAACACTAAAAACTTGTTTGGCTTTATATCAAGGACTAATTGTGAGTTCCCGATGTTGTGTTTTCTCTTGTTTCAGACAATAAAGCCTACAATCCTAATAGGAAGTTTAGGAGTTGGAAGAGCATTTACCCAGGAAGTCATGTAGATCATGGCATAACTCAACGAGGTGCAGTCCTGTTGAACATATAATATATAATGTATAAACGTTCAATCTCACTTTATATCTTTGCTAGTGGAAGTCCATTTCAACCTGTTGAATATGAAGGGAAGACATTTATGCCACGCCAGGTTGCCACTCTCCCCCATAAGTAGCTTTGCCTGACTTGTTCTTCATTGCAAACTAACTTCTGATTTTTGTTTTTGTCTGATATTTTCAGGCTAACAATGCATGCATACATATACACTAGATTTGGATTAGGTCTGATTATGTTTGGCACAGCTCGCGCGCATGATGACATGGTTGTCGGGAACGATCCTCGCAACTAGGTGTAATTCTATTTCTGATCAACAACTTTGTAATTAGGTCGCGCATAATGAACTAAATCATTCCAATAATGCAAAAGGCATAATTGAAATATTGAGTTTTGTTCTAAATAATCAAACGAAGATTAATTAAACGAAAAAAAAAAAAAAACTTAACCTAAATTTTTTTTTTTTTTTTAAGGCAAGAAAATGATTTTCAAAGTTTATGATTTATAATCTTTGATGCTCAACTTTACTTTGAATGTTTTGTATTTAGTCGGGCTAATAATTTGACCAAAGTTTATGTTAAATTTTATATTGTACTTATTTGTTTTAATACCTCCGTATATTTTAACATATTCGTAGTATATATATTTAACAATTATGCCAACTCTGATTGGGATGAAGTTCAAACCTAAGACCTTTCTTATAGAAACTAATGAGTAAGTTAAGAATAATAAATAGTTAATGGAATATTCCATTACTAAAGTTTATACTAACAGAATCCAAGATTATTTAAGGGAAGAAAATAATATAATAGATGGTAAATAAGGAAAATCATAAAAAAAATACTAAAATTAAAAGGAATAAGGGTCAAATAGGCCATCGAACTGCACACGATAATGCAATTAAGCCACTGAACTCAAAAAATCAACAATTGCGTCCCTAAACTAACCAATTTCAAACAATTCTTCCAATTTGAAGGTTTCCAACAGGTCAACAGGTCATCCTCCCAAATTAATTGTTCTTTTAAAATTAAAGTTTAAAAATTAATTATTAAAAAAAAAAAACAGAATCGAAGAAACTCTTCGTCTCCGGTCGTGCCGGCCATGGAGATGAAGAGTTTCTTCTTCTCCATTACCTCAATTACCTCCATTCATAACCCCCTCCCCCTACTTCCTCGCCAAAACACGGTGACCGGCGGCTGTTCCAGGTCACCTTCCGTGGGTGGAAGAATAACGCACTCAAGGATTGGGAAAGTGGGTCGAAGCCATGCGATATTTGCACGAATCCGCTTGGAAAGAAGCCGGAATCTATGACGCGGTGATGAATTCGACGTACGTAATCCACCGAAACGACGCTCTTATTCTTGGCTACGCCGGAAAATAGAGCCCGGAGACTAAAACGTTTTTGTTTCCGTGGGGAGAAGCAAGTCTCACATTGGAGGACATGATTGTGCTGGGAGCTTTCTCTGTTTTGGGTGATTGTGTTGACCCGGATTTAAGCCCTCTAGGGGATAGAGAATGGGTAGAGATCAAACGTAAACTGCTGAAAGCAAGATCAGAGATAAACAAAACTTCTGCTAGGAAAGTCACCCATGGTTCTTGGATTGCTAAGTTCATTGGCAGCGGGAGTGAAGTTGAGCATGAAGCCTTCCTAGTGCTATGGTTAGAAAAGTTTGTTTTCCCCAATGAAACTATAGGCACAAAGGTTTTGGACATTGTGATCCGGTTGGGTAGAGGAAATAGAATTGCCCTCGCGCCTGCTGTTTTGGCCAGTATTTATCAGAATCTGGGATTAATGGAGGAGGCTCTTGTTGTTGAGAAGAAGAGGCAAATAGTCATGATTTCGGTCCCGTTTCAATTGGTGCAAGTATGGACTTGGGAGAGGTTTCCAGGTTTACGGCCAAATCCTAAATTTGTTTATGGCGGGAGAGGAAGAAACTTTTCGTCTCCGGCCATGGAGACGAAGAAACCGGCCGGAGAACTTCTTCGTTCCGGCATGATTCTGTTTTTTTTATTTTTTATTTTTTTTATTTTTAATTTAAATAATCAATTTTTAAATTTTATTTTTTAAAAAATAATTAATTTGGGAGGATCACCTGTTAACCTGTTGGAAACCTATAAAGTGAAAGAATTGTTTGAAATTGGTTAGTTTAGGGACCCAATTGTTGGTTTTTTAAGTTCATGGCCTAATTGCATTATTGTGTGCAGTTCGATGGCCTATTTGACCCTTATTCCAAATTAAAATAATATGAACCATTCATTTCAAAAAAAAAAAATTACACCGACATTTGTTGTTCCAGTTAAGGGCCTAATATTATTGGCTCTTATTAGATTTGTAGATAAAATAATATGAACCATTCATTTCAAAAAAAAAAATTACACCGACATTTGTTGTTCCAGTTAAGGGCCTAATATTATTGGCTCTTATTAGATTTGTAGATATCAATTCAAATATTTTTAAAATATTATAATAAATTCATTCCGTGCACGTTTGAAAATACTAGTCTATCTATACTCTATACTATATATAAAAACAAAAGGGAAAATGACACTTTTTCCCCCTAAGTTATATACTTATAGCATTTTTCCCCTTGAATTATTAAAGTGGCTCTTTTTCCCCCTGAAATGTTAAATGGACATATTTACCCTTAAAATAAATATTTAAAATTAATATTTCATTTATTTTTATTCTCCAACAAATTATTACTATAATTTGGTTCAAACCAAACAGATACTATAGCAACCAAACCAAAATATTCCAATTACAATTTATAATCAAAACACAATATTTAGAGTTTATTAAAATCGCGAACCGGAATGGCCGGTTCATGTTCCGAACTGAAAAAATAAAATACATTTATTGTTGAATTTAGACTATTTTAAAATAAAAAATAAAATTTTAAAATAAAGACGGTTCAAAATCACGAACTGGATCCAGAACCGCCGATTCACGGTTCATGATCCCATTTTTTTTTATTCTTAAATTTAATAAATTGAAATCCAAATATTGGGTTCTAGATCTGAATCATAACTGAAAACTTTTAATTCGATTGCTATAGTGTCTGGTTCAGTTCGAACCGAACCATGGTAATCGCTACATATACGCAATAATTTGTTGGAGAAGTAAAATAAATAAAATGTTTGCTTTAAGGGTAGAAATGTCAATTTAATATATTTAGGGGAAAAACAACCACTTTTAAAATAATTGAGGGGGCTAATGTGCTTACATAAATAATTGAGGGGGAAAAAGTGTCATTTTCTCAAAAATAAAATCATGAACTTTAAATTCCTGCCCATTTCCTAAAAAATATCTCTTTCTAATAAAATATATTGTTTTCTACTTTCTTATTCGTACTATAATTCTAGGATAAAATTCATATTCTTTCCAATTCGTACTATAATTCTACGTAAAAATTCCTATTCTAATATTATAAAACAGTGTAATACAATTCCAATTCTAATCTATACTATATATAAAAACAAAATCCTAAACTTTAACTTCCTCCCAATTCCTAAAAAATCTCTCTTTCTAATAAAAATAAATTGTTTTCTACTTTCCTACTCATAATATAATTCTAGCTTAAAATTCATATTCTGATAGTATAAAATAGTGTAATACAATTCCTATTCTAATCTATATATATACTATATATAAAAATAAAATCCTGAATTTTAATTTTCTGTCCAATTCCTAAAAAAATCTCTCCTTCTAATAAAAATATATTGTTTTCTAATTTCCTATTTGTTAAAATTTTGACGAATTTGTCAATATTCAAAAAAGGTCATTATCTAATAATTATTATGCAAGTTAACAAATTAATTGTATAGATATAAAAGTTCGTTTGGAAAGTTAAAAAATAATTTCTGGAAAATGAGTTATTTTTCAGAAAACATTTTTCTTTTTAATGTTTGGCTGCACAGCAAAAAATTGTCAAAAAAAATTTATATTATTAATATTATTGTTATTATTATTTAATAATAATATAAAATAATAATAATAATAATAATAATAATAATAATAATAATAATAATAATAATAATAATAATAATAATCAAAACAAAACTATATACAAAATAAAATTAAATAGAAAAAAAAAAAAAAGACAAAGGGTAACCACGGGCTCCCCTTTGTAAATGATTGTAGACACAGAAAATTTGAACTAGACTGAAAAAATTGTTATTGGGCCGATGTTGAGATTGTTATTGGGCCAATTTAATTAAATTCGGTCATAGAAATTAAATTGATTTAATTAGTCCAATTAAATTTGGGTTGGGCTATTGAATTAATTAATTAATTGGTCCAATTCCATTTCATATTTGAATTTGAATTATAATTATAATTTAAATATAATATAATTTTATTATATTTAAATTAAATAATTATAATTTAATTTGATTTTGAATTAGATGATAGAATAATGAACCTAGACTTGATTTTTGGCCAGGTTTATTCTCTTAAATAAATAAATAATTAATTAATTAATTAAAAAGGGGAGTTGGTTGAGGGATTTTGGTTAGGCCTATAGCTATAATTAGGGCCTTCATTTTCATTCCAAAAAACAACAATTGAAGAACAACTAGAGCATTTGAAGAGCTTGAAGGCAATGGAGAACGCTTGAAGACTTGAAGGCATCTTTTGAATATTTTGCAGGCAATTTGAATGCATTGCAGGTACTTTGGAGCTTTGCAGAATTGATTGTCTCGAAGATCTTGAAGTCTTTTGAAGACATTTGAGGATCTTAAGGCGACTTGAATCCATTGCATGTGTTTTGAAACTTTGCAGGGTTGATCGTTTCTAAATTCTTAACGTTCGTTGCTGAAAGTTGCGCCACTAGACTCCTAGAAGCTACGCCGTTTGAATCCCGGAGGCACGCGCCAATTGAATCCCGGAGGCTATGCTATTTGAATCCCAGAGGCATTTTAATAGATAACGTTAGTGAAGAATCAGAGGACTAGACATAGATTTTGTACCTGCACCTTGAATTATACACACGCTGTATACAGAATTTTGTAAATATATACAAAGTTTATTGTTTTGTGTTTACAGATTTTGTCACGCCTAGTGGGACAACTCTGCCTCTCATATCTTCATTGTTGATTCGCTGACTCTATAAGGAAGGAATCCAAATGGCATCAAGAAATCCCTCCTCCAAGATGACCTACGGTCAAGCTACCCGTTCCAAGGCATCATCCGTTGCCGGTTCCGGTGACAGCCAAAACGTGGAAGGCGCAATGACTCGGAGCCGAGTGAGGAACCAAGAAGCGTAGCAACATTTAGTGGGAATAAGACAGGACATGGGGAACCCACTTTTCACTTTTCTGCAGGACCATGCCACCACTTCATCTCACTTTTAGTGCACC